CAGACACGTCTTAATCTTGTCGTGGACGCGTGTTGGCAACACGCGTCTCTAGTAAGAGCTTACTGCAGACGCGTGTAGATACTGACCGGTCTCTGTTAAGGGCTTATCATAGACACGTGTTTGTTTTTGTCACAGTTACATATTGGTAACACACGTCTACAGTATGTGCTTATTACAGACACGGCCTTATTACAGACATGCGCGTCTGTGACGTGCCTGAATACGCGTCTATGATGTGCTTTTTTTACATGGAGAGATTGCCCCCTCACATGACGAGATCGGAAATACAGCCGCAAGGACGACGCAGTGCAGAAGACAAGTGATAGAGATCGAGCAGGAAGAGAGTAGAGAGGCATCATTACGACGCAGCTGATTATTCGCTGCCATGGGCACCCATGATGCATGCTGCTGCCATTGCCAGTTTGCCACCACCACAAGGGGCTCACATGCATGTCCCAGCGACTACACACACACTGCACGCAGACACATAGAGGGAGAGGGACCTAAGTTCAGTAATCATCCATGCTTTCCCTGTATCCATAGATCTGCATATCATCGAAAAGGAGTCGGGGAAGTAGTAGTAATTAATCGAGAGCCACCTTCACATCTGAGTTTTAGGCTTTCCTTCAGCACTGCATTATTATGCTGTAATCACCGGGCTTATATCGCTGCAGAGGCCCACGACATGGGTAATCATAGCAAGATCATTTTTCAGAGAAAGGCGCACCTTTCAGACAGGGACGAGAGACTGGGTGGTGAGATATAGAGAGGCCCACATGAACATGAAAAGGACGTTGGTACGACCTGATTGAGGGATGGTCAACGTTACAATCTCTTGCTCCGGTGGCAGGGTCCACAGTATGCTGTTCACATCAAATACAGAACTCACAACCAGTTAACATGGACAGCACGCTAACAAGATGGATGGTTCTTAACCTAAAAAAAATCCACCCATTATCTTATGACATATTCTGTGGTTCAAAACCAGTCGAACTTCTTAACCTAAAAAAATCTACCCATTAACCGGATGGAGCCGTCCGCTCATATTCTCGCACCACCCGTGCCAGCTTTAGTTAGCATGCACCGGACCGCCAACGCTGCCCGGCTGACTCACACCCCGCCCCCGGCTCAATCCCAGCCGCGAACGTGTTGGGAGTCGATCCACCTCCACCACGTTCGGACTCCTCTCACGAGGAATCGTGTGGGCCTCTTCTACATCAGCGTCGTGCGCCTGTGCCTCCTCAACACACCATCGGGGCCGCCTGCGCCTCCTCCTCCTGCATCGGTGGCATTGCCTTGCCCAAATTACCTAGTCAACTCCAACACCGACGGTCTGCAATTACAACATTAAACACTCACTGCAACATATGACTAAATAGATGAAACATTTGGAAAATACGCTTATAACATAAGTGTATAGCGACTACAACATATGCAACATCTAGATAAAATACTTACAACATACGTCCAAAACATATGAAACATTTCGAATAGACGCTTGCAACATACCTCTCAAACACTTGCAACATATGCAACATCCTGACCTACTTTGCATCATCCATATAAAACACTTGTAACGCACCTCTGAAACACTTGAAACATATGTTTGCAACATGCGCTTCTTGCTGCCGTGGTGTCTTCGGCTGACCGCAGGAGACGATGTCCAGGCCGGTGACGACCTTCTCCTGGTGGCGCCGGGGTGGTGGTGGTGGCGCGGTGCACGCCGTGGCCATGACAGGCGAGCATGGATTGGGGTGTAGCGGTGGATGGCCCGCGACAAAAGCGGAGTAGGGCGGCAAGGTGCGAGATGGGATGGGCGGCCAAGCGACGAGGCGGAGTGGGGTGGCTGGGTGCTGGACGGGGGCACGTGCGAAAGATAGCCACCGCGGCGAGGCGAAGTGGGACGAGTGGACGGCTACATGTGGGGAGATTTTTTTTAGAGAGTGCGTCCAGAAGGACGGACGTCCTTAGCATAACGTTATTAGTTAGAGATTCGTGCTGGTCAAATTTTCGTAGTTTCACTAGATATGTAGAAAATATAAGACGTCCTCGGCATAACATTATCAGTTAGGGGATTCGTGCTGGTCGAAGTTTCGTAGTTTCACTAAATTTGTAGAAAATATAAGAAATATTTGTATCTTCAAATAAATTTATTATAAAAATATATTCAGCGATTTATCTAATGATATTAATTTTACATCTTAAATATTAATAATTTTTTATGTATGTTTAGTTACAGTTAAAAGTATTTGACTTGTGGTGAGACGAGAATAACATCCTTCCTGCAATCGGAGGGAATATTAATTTATTTTGCTTTTTTGACTTTTTGTTTTGTCTTCGTAGGGTCTACGCTTCCACCACCACTCCCTCGCTAACCTGTGGGCTGTCTAGTTACGAGACAACGCGTTGTCATCTCGATCCGACAAGTCCCCGCCGTCTCACTGTCCTACCGCTGGCTTGTTTAGTTTTAAAAAAGTTTTTTCAAAAATATTACAGTAGCTATCACGTCGAATCTTGCGATATATATATGGAGCATTAAATATAGACAGAAAAAAACTAATTGCACAGTTTGATAAGAAATTGCGAGACGAACATTTTGAGCCTAATTAGTCCATAATTAAATACTAATTGATAAATAAAAATAAAAATGCTACAGTAACCAAATCCTCAAATTTCGCGGAACTAAACAAAACAAGGCGTAGGTCAACTGCAGATATGTTGGCCTTGCGGAAATATACAAATACATTGGTGAGCTCGAGGAGATACGGTTGTTGGCGCGCTCGCTCTCTGCCTTTCTCTCTCTCCGTCGTCCATTATTATATTATTAGCGTTTGATCATATCAGACAGTCCAATCTACGATTCATCTTGCATTTTTTTTTCTCGCTCCCATGTGAAAGTAGGTAGCCGTCCAACACGAAAGATCTATGGCAAAAGAAATCTTTGTGACAAAAAGGTCCTTCCTTTTGTTCTTGTGCACTGTTGAGCTCATGTGGCCGCGAACCCTACGCAGGGCCTCAGATTGAAGAAAAACGTATATATGGATGGCAGGGCCACAGATTATTAGCGGTGCGCCGGGACAAGTCTAACTCGATCTACAGGTTCTTTTCTTTCATACTCACTAGTCCCTTTTGGAGCTCAATAGCTCTATCGTTACCTCCGTACGACAGTGCAGTGGTTAAATATGCAGTAAACCTCGCCGCTAATCGCTCGCTCGCCTGCAATGCCCGTGAGTGTGAGTTCATTCAGCATGTTCGTTTGCTCGTATATGATTGTGGATTATAAACTGAAATAGTATTTTTTTCTCACAATAAACTAGCCAACAGTAAATACTCTACGATTGTTTACCACAAAACAAACAGCCTGCTTATCTGGTGTGACGACGAAATGACGGAGAGCGATGGAAGCACGCAGCAGGTGATGACACTTCTGGTGCTGGTCGACAGACGATCGACACACATCACCCACAAGCACGCGGTGTCTATCTGTAATCTCTCTGTCTCTCACGTAGGAGTACTCCACTCCGTTAGGAGTATCTATCTGTACCTACCATCCATCAACCAGCAGCGGCTCTTGCGTGTGAGGAAGGCAAAGCACGAGATGAGACGACAGCAGCACGTTCAAGGACAGGCCACACACGATCGCTGAATCAAGCGTTTAACTAATTAAGTAATTAAGCTACTGCCGATACATAGTACTGATAATGCATGGCAATTAAAAAGGCTGTCCCCCCCCCCCCTTCGCCTCCTGATCATATCATGCTGCGAGGCCATCCAGCTGGCCGCCTCCTCCTCAACCAGATACCCTTTTTTTTCCCTCCACTTAATGTTTTTTTAGAACGCCAACCCTCTCTCCCCTCAACTAGATACCCTTTTTCCTCCCATTCCAAATTTGCTAAAAAAAAGGAAAACATGATTTCTAATTTTGAGGATGATTTCTCTAGTACATCAGAAAAAAAATGTATTTCTTTTAACATCCTAACACGCGGGATACACAGTTAAGTCGGTAAATTTTTTTCTTCATTTGCCCTCCCAGTCAGTAGTGGAGCCGGAAGTTTTTAGAAGCCCAGGTGATCGTATACTTTTATAAGGATAAACCCCACTAGAGATTTTTCTTAATATGCAAGCTATCCACATCAACAATCCACTAGAACTTGTAATTATAGCCAACTGGCATATGTAATTATAATAATTATCTCTTCATTCACTAACATGTATTTAGCTGTCCACATCGATATGTCAAACCATTCACCAAAATTAATTTAAGATAGTTTTATTTATATAACTATAAATATAAACAGTCTAACTTTTTTTTAAATTATCTGGAATCCCCATAGCAACGTGCGGGGTATTCTCCTAGTTCTCATTATGCAAGCTAACAAATTATTCTCTTTTTATATATAGAAAAAAATTCTTTTGAACTTAATTCACCTTGGAACCCGACCGGGCGGTGACTCCACCACCACTTCTAATAGTTGGCCATCTCTCCCCTCGCCCCCATGGCCGGTTCTTTCTCTTCTACCTCTCCTTGTGTCCGCTCGACTCGCCCCCTAGGCGGCGAGACGGCCGCCCGAGATGTCAGTGAGTGGGGAAGAAAGAAAGAAATTGAGGAAATTTTTGGTTCTTGCTCCCTTTTATTTTACCAAGAGAGAGAAAGAAAGTTTTGAGAGATTAAAAATAAATAAATTGTTGGAGCTCTTTTTTTTGGTTCAATTTTTCACCAGTTATGGAGAAAATAGATGTATTTGCTCAAACTGATGATGGAGATACTCTTAGCTAGAGGTGGAGGAGCAAATTGTTATACCAAAAAAGTAATCTTTTCATTTGTTCTAGTTAATAACCTTTACTAGCTAGCATATGCATGCAAATTCAAGAACAAAAACAAGTATATTCAAGTGAAAGTACGTAGCTACCACTAACAGCCAAGGCAAACAAAAAATCTGCTCGCATCATGTACTACTCAATTGGATTCTTGGAAATAAGCAAGTAAACTAATCAGTAGCCTAATCTGATGTGCAGATCCATGAGTCGACGACGCCTGCTTGCGTTCTCATGCCCGCCGTTGCCGCCACCGGGGCCGTCGTCGTCGTCGCTGTGGAGCCGTCGGCCGACGGGTTACGCCGATTGCGCTCCAGCAGAGGCCGCGTCGAAGAGTACGTCGCCTTGCAGCCGTCGGCCCCGGTGACGGACGCGCCCCCGACCAGGCCGGACAGCACGTCGCCGCCGTTGCGCGGGTGCAAGTGCGCGTGCGGCCCTTGGGAGCCCAACATGACGTCGTATGTGAGACCGAAGAAGTCCGCCGGGTCCTGCAGCCTCGTGGCGGAAGACGGCAGTGGTGCTATGCCGCGGTTGAACACTGGGCGCGCCGCGCACTTGCAGTCGCCGAGGGAGGAGCTCTGATGGAACGAGTGGTAGTTGTTGCTTCCGTGATCTTGCTGCATCCCGATAAGAGCGGACGTCGAGGCGGCTGTGAGCTGGTGGTAGCTGTCGCTGGACGACGCCACGGCCGTCGTGCCGGGGGTGGTGGTGGAAGCAGGCGCAATGGAGATGTTGGCCGGAGCCGGTGAGGACGTGGAGGGCGAGGTGAAGCTCGGCGGGTAGGGGGTCGACGACGCGTGGACCTGGACCTTGTGGGCGAAGGGGCGGACGAGGTACTGCAGGAGCGTGGCGGGGTTCGCGGTCCTGGCGGCAGCGGTGGTGGTGCGCAAGGGGAAGAGGTGGTGGTCGAAGCGGGAGCGCGCGGTCGTCGCGGCGCCGGCGAAGGGCGGGGCGGGGATGCCAGTGAACTCCTGCACCATGGCGCGGAAGTTGGAGGTGTCGGTGGTGAGCACCGTGGTGGGCGCGCGGCGCGACGCCCGCGCCCGCTTCCTCGACCCCCGCGGCGGCGCCGCCGCGGCGGCCTGGGCCGGCGCTGCGTCCGCCTGGTCGGCCGCCGCAGAGGCCGCCGTTGGTGCACCATGGCCGGACAGCGACGGCGGCGAGGCTGAGGCCTCTGCGCCGGCCGGGAGCGGCGCCGTCGTTGAGCACCAGTGGGACAGCGGCGGCGTGCGGAGCTCCTGGAGGCCGTAGATCAAGGAGCCGCCGCCGAAGCCCGGCACGGATGGCGGCGGCTGCCGGAGCAAGGCGGAGAGCGGCGAGGAGTCGGAACCGCATCTGGAGTCGAAGTCGTCGTCGCCGCCGCTGGACGACTGCAGGCTGCCGCTGTTTCCGGAGTCCATCCCACGGAACGTAGGCGCGAGAGCCCGCGGCGCCGCGCCCGGGCGTGGTGTGCAAGTGCAACCGCAGTCCGCAGCTCACCAAGATACGACCAGCTTTGGTGTCATTACCTTCGCACCAACGGAGAAGCGAAGCAGGACCAGGGAAGTACGGTGGTGCAGCACGCAGGGAGACGCGCGCACGCCGAGTCTAGTCGGCAGATCGACCGGCCGGTGTGGAGAACGAGAGGATAGGAGGGAATGAAGATAGCCGGGACCTGGAGCGACGACGAGGCGAGGCAGAGCACGCTGCACCTGCACGCATATGGGTGTAGCCGTGGCCCGTGGCGGGGGTGTTTTTGTATGGGAATGGCGAGCGGAGGACACCCGGGCACCCGGCCCGGCCGGCCCTGGCGAGCGCATGATTAGGCGCTGGCGCCCTGCAAAAAGTTGCGTGCGGGCAGGCGGCCCCCGCCAGGCAGCGATCCAGAGGTTTATTCGGGTCGGGGCCTTGGTGGTGGGGGTGCGCTCTCAGCAAAGTGTCGCGGTCGCCGGTCGGCAGGGGGGAAATCATGTTGTCTGCCCCTGCCTGCCCCGCTTTCCTTCGGCTAGATCACCCAACACGGCTTTGCTTTCATGTTAGACTGTGGCTGACAGTCCCAACCGTGGAGTTGTACTCAACACTGGTGTGACTGGATACAAAAAATTCTATCTACGCTCCAGCCATCTAGGTACGAGCATAAGATTCAAGCTTGAGTACACATTAAAAAAAAATGAATCGGGCAGGAGAGATCCGATTATATAAACAATAACAACAGACACAACAAATACAAATAACTATGACAACTCTACCAATAACAATAGTAGTGACAAAAACAAACGAGTAATTCTAACAAGTTGCAAAATGAGCAAACAAACAAACTGTAGCGAAGACAAACACCTAAAGAGAGGACAAAGAAATCTTTATCACCATGTCCCATAAGGCATGATCTTTTAACCCTATTAGTGTCTGGAGGAGATCAAGCGGCAACAATCTCTTTAGGCTTTCTGCGTTAGCTTGCACTACATTCTCGTTGAGCATTCCATTATTTCCAACTATACCCAAATCTTTTAACACACCATGTTGTGCAAGACGGACATTTCGACGTGATGATCTATCATAGGACTTACATCAACATCTTGTTCTCGTGCTCAATGGTGAAGGTGGATGCATAGAAGGACATGCAAGGTCATCAACCTTCAAAGGTATGGCAGTTGGAGGAGACGTTGCCTCTATTGGTGGATCTTGGTGGGTCTTCATCATCTGTCACCTGGGGCTCTTCTGTGTTGACCTCGGTCACAGAACAGGTAGCACCATCTTCGATGATTATGATAAAAATGTGTCTTTAACTGTCACTTGTGTATCTGAGATCTCATCATCATCAGATGCATCCTGTAACAAAACAACATCCCTAATAGAGGTGACGGTCTGTAGTAACATTTGATTTGTCATCTTAACAGAGGAAGTCCATGAGGTCACCTCGATGACCTGCTCCATGAGTAACTGAAACTCTATGCCAAAAGCCTTTGTGGCCACCTCTGTGGTCAACTTGTTAAGGATGGAGTCAACAATTTCAGCACATGTGTCGTTATGCAGCATGCAGTCTGGAGGCATACAACCCACCACAAGAGAGAAGAGGATTGATGACATCGGAGAGTGTCGAACTGGAGAACAGTGGCCAAAGAGCTCAGTCACATCAGGAACAAAAGAATGCTCTACACACATGGCTGACCACACTCCATACGGTTGGCTATATGTGATAGCCACAACTTGATAGTAGAAGCATCCTCCCTAAGGGGGCGCATCACTTCCTCCAAACTAACTTCGATCAAGTATTTGGGGTTTGATCTCAAAGACTACACTAGAGGCACAAATAGGGATTGGTGGTTCAAATGTGTCGAAGTAGTAGTAGAAGCATAACAACAGCTACTACAAACATGATTGGCCTCCTTAACATGTGAACCAATAGGTCACAAGGCCGGTGATGAGTTGTGATGCCCTTGCTCTAGAGACGTAGTCATAATGCCTGCTAGCAACGAAACACCATGCCCTTCTAAAGGAGGCATAGCCACAAATTCTACCCAACTTTGGCCATGCTTAGAGTGGCAAGGTTAAGCAGTAGGAGAGAAGAAACTCAGAGTAACAGAGGGAGACTAGAAGAGGCATTGCTGCTCCCTAAGCCTAGGACAACAACAATGGGCGAAACAAGCATATACCATGAGCCCATGTTTTGAAGGCAATGCTCTACTGCACTTGCGTCTTCAACGATGACATTGTATGCACACCCACCGCTCATTCCTCCTCACGAGGAGAGCCTAATGAAGATGATGAGTATATTGGAGTTGACGCTAGAGGCTAGATGGGGCTTGCCTAGAAGTGGAAAGGAGAAAGTGAAGGAGGTGGCGACGAAAGGAGGAGCTCAAGCAGCTCAATGAATAAATCGCAGACCCAACGTCTGCATCTCTACTGTCGGTGTTTCGAATAAATACCAACTAGTAAATTTATATTTGTTGCGCGTTAGGCTCAGATGGTGTACTAAAGGACACAAGGTTTATACTGGTTCGGGCAGAATGTCCCTACGTCCAGTTTGCTGCTGCTCGTGTTATTAGTACCGAAAAAGGTTCGTAGTAGGGGGTACAAACAGTCGAGAGAGGGACAGGTCCCAAATCTCTGATGGAAAGGTCGAAAGGATGCCAAGAGCTCGGTTGCCGCTTGGCTGTGTGTTGTGTCTGGAATCGATCCCCCCTAGTTGGGCGTCCTGCCCTCCCTTTTATAGACCAAGGGGGAGCAAGGGTTACAGATGGGAGAAAGAGGAAAAACCCAAAGGAAGAGAAGGTCATTCGAAGGTGCCGGGTCTTCCTTTTCCCTTGAAACTGCCCTGCTGACATGGCAAACCATGCCAGGGATAACATGTTTCACTGATCCTAATAGGGCCGGGCTCTGGCTTTGTTTCAGTGAGTGGTCACGTCCCATCCTCCCCCGGCGGACGGTGCGGTGTGTTAGGGTGCCAAGCCATGACTCTGCGGGGAGTAGACGGGGAAGTGACTATTCGCCTGTTACTGTTGATGACGTGAGTTCTCTCTTGGATTGTAGTGGTTGTCGTATGTCTGTGTTAGTATCCGCGCTCGAGGGTTGATGGCGGCGCCTAAAACACAGTAGGACAAAAATCGGTGCCTACGACACTATTTGGGCTCTGTTAGGTCAGAAGGGCTTAAAGCGCCCGTCCCGTCGTATCCTGACGGTACCATCCTGCAGGCGTGCAGGGCATGGTCCTCGGTACTGCGGTTGACTTGAATGTCCTATCGTACCCTGTGCTTGTCATTATGAAGGAGCAGGGTGCAGTCGTCGGGCGACGCGGAGCCAGCCTTCAGCCGTCGGGCGAGGCGGAGCCTACCCTCAGACGTCGGGCGAGGTGGATCCAGCCCTCAACCATCGGGCGAGGCAGAGCCTGCTCTCAGCCATCGGGTGAGGTGGAGCCTGCCCTCAGATGTCGAGCGAGGCAAAGCCAGCCCTCAGCCATCGAACAAGACGGAGCCTGCCCTCAGCTGTCGGGCGAGGTGGAGCCAATCTTCAGTCTTCTGGGCAAGAAGTGTAGCTGCGTTCTTGTCTATTTGGGAGCATCAACGTTTGATGGTTGTTAGTTCCACCTCATTGGGTACCCCAGTATTAGGTCCTCGACAGTAGCCCCCGAGCCCTCAGGTGATTCGGATAGAATCGCCCGGGGGGTGATTTGACTTGCCAGAGGGTGCGCGCGAGCGCACCCGATGGGTGTAGCCCCCGGGAGATTCGGGCAGAATCGTCCAGGGGATATTTTGATTCGCCAGAGGGTGCGCGCGAGCGCACCCGTCGGGTGTAGCCCCGAGCCCCCGGGTGACTCGGATAGAATTGCCTGGGGGGTAGTTTCCGACTCTTCACGGCTATGGCTGTGAGATTTGGTTTTTGTCAACTAGATAGTTTATGGGAAACCCTGGTATCCCATTCATGGGGATTCATCCAGGGTCAGTGCGGTTGGGGCTCGATTGCGGATCGAGGCTGCCTTGAGGCTTGTGCCCCTGAGTTCTGGGCGCTCACAGCCCATCCCTCGTTGGGACGGCCGGCGAAACTTGTTGGGCCAGCCCTCGAACTCCTGGGCCTAGGCGGGCCAGAGAAATGTTTTTGACCCGTATCCCCTCTGTGGGAAAAGAGTCCTGGTTTGCTTGGGAAAGCGAAATGTTCGGCGTGATTTTGGTGGGAAAGGATAGGGATCGCGGGCGCATATCCCGCGACGTGACGGGGTGGCGTATCGTGACAGGCTCAGAGACCTAGGTGGGTGGTTTCTCTTCTCGCATCCGTCACCCCTATAAAACCAAGGGGTTTGCCCCAGGGTTCCGTACTTTGCCTCCTTGCCTTCGCATCTACAACCTCTGCCGCCAATCGCCTGAGCCTCCTGCACCCACATCGCAGCCACCATCAAGCTCACATCCACATTGCAGCCGCCGTCAAGCTCTCATCCACCCCCCTTATAATCGTTTAATGGAGCCATGGTGCAGATCTGACATCACCCCTCAGCGCCTGGGGGGCCTCGTTCGTCGTGGCCTCCTTTGCCTGCTGACTGCCACCGAGGAGTGGCGACTGCCTGGTAATGAGGATGAGCCGTCGCCGCTCGAATGGTATGTCGTGTCCTTCGCTCACTTCCACGAGCGGGGATTCGCCATATTTGCCCACAAGTTTCTTCGTGGGCTGTTGGATTACTACAAGGTGGAGTTGCAGTACCTTACTCCCAATGAGGTCTAGCACATTGCGACATTCGTCACCCTGTGTAAGGGGTTCCTGGGGATTAGTCCCCACTTTGACCTGTGGCGGTATCTCTTCGCCGTCAACCTTTTGAAGAAGTGGGTCGGGTAGCAAGAGCTTAGCGTGCCGATGGGATGTGCCGGCATTCATCTCCGCAACAACCGGGTGAACGAATACCCGTCGATGCGTCTGTCGACCTCCAACAAGGGGT